GTGCTTACGGTGTTCGTGTGGAGCACCGTATTGATGGTGGGTTTCTGAACATCCGTCGTTTCGGTGCGAGAACTCTAGTCTGTGAGACAACTATCCGTATGTTGCTGTTTTCTGACGACTGTGCGTTGCTTGCACACAGCGCGGATGAGTTGCAGCATATGACTAGTTCTCTGGCTTCGACAGCGGCCAAATTTGGGCTCACCATCAACACAAGCAAAACTGTCTGTCTCTTTCAGCCTTCACCGGAGGTGCAATCTTCAATATTGCAGCGAATCAGCATTGGTGCTGAAGTATTGGAAACCACCTCCCGCTTCAGCTACCTTGGGAGTGTGATGTCGACTGATCAGTAGCTACACAGTGAGCTGCGTATTCGCGTGTCGAAGGCAGCGGCATTCGGGAAGCTTGAGTACCGAGTGTGGAACAACCATCAGCTTACCATTGGCACGAAGCTGATGGTGTACAAATCCATGGTACTGTCCGTTCTTCTATACGGCAGTGAAAGGTGGACGATGTACAGGCGGGATGTGCGATATCTCGAGCGGTTCCATCAGCAGTGTCTGCGACGAATTTTGCGGATCGGCTGGGGCGACAGAGTTGCAGACACGGAAGTTTTGCGCCGAAGTGGGATGTATGCAGTGGACTGCATACTTTTATTGAGACACCTGAGGTGGATCGGTCATGTGAGCCGTATGGATTCGACGCGGATACCGAAGCAGCTATTATATGATCAGCTGAGTATTGGGAAGCGGCATGCGGGGAAACCAAAGTTACGTTACCAGGACATGATCAAAGTGAGCCTCACACGTTCTAACCTTGATTGCAGATCATGGGAATCGAAGGCGGTTGATCGGCGTGCATGGCGCGATCTAATCACGAAGGCAGTTGCTGAAGTGCGGGAGAAAGCCCTCATGCATGCAGAGAAGAAGCGGCAAGCACCGATGAATTGTACTCCATCGACATCAAGCGCATGGTGCTGTAGAACATGCGGTCGCGAGTGCCTTAGTCAGGCAGGCTTAGTGAGCCATGAGCGAGGCCACTCGGGACTACTACCGAAGCGACGACGGGTTGTGCAGAGAACGTAGGCAGAACCGGCGCAGCGTTTGTAGGTACGCTGCATTCGATTTACTAACCGCGTGCTTGCATGCTAAGTCTCTTTATTTCAGGTGGTGGGTTTTCAATTTTGCCTTAACGCTTTTCTTTCTCATATAATTGTCTACCTGTACTCTATTCCATTAACTTGCACACTTCGCTTAAGCCAATCGTATTCGATTTCCATAACATTTTTGTGTTCGTGGCATTTCCGTATAGTATACTTTCTCACCTCGTGAACTTATCTAGGATTCGTTTGTAAACAACCTATTTCATATGCTCATTAACTTAAGGTTTATGTCACCGTTTCTGTATGCATCAATCGAGTTATTTTCTTTCCCTCTCTCTCTCTCAAGTGTTTGGCTGTTGTTTGATATCCCCGGTGTGGCTGCGCTTGATATGCATGTTGACAAGGTGACTACCTGTCTATTACCCACTACCTCGTCCATACTGGCTCCAGGAGACAGTTGGTCGTTGCTGGAGGGGACGGGGTGCACGGTCCTTGTGGCCGTGTTAGGATCAAAGAGTGGTTCCATGCACTCAGTGTGGAGCGGACTACGGTCCAGCCACCGCCTTGTGTGCGCTTGATTCCCCAAATACAGCGTGCTTGTGTTTGCCTGTGAAGGAGTGTGGGCCGGCTCCGTTGATGAAACGTGGTTCCCATCCGCATGCCTCCCGGTCTTATTCCTTCGGGTTTACACTGGATATGGGGTGTGTGGTTGGAGCTGTGGGTGGTGCAGCGCAAGCCACCCATGGCCCCTCTGTAGGCGCAGGCGTCTTGTGGCTTGCCACAGTGACAGGCAAATCCGAAACCGGATGCCGCCAACCATATATATATATATATATATATATATATATATATATATATATATATATATATATATTCAAATTGCAGTGCGGGTAGTAATGTCACGGCATGTGTATGAAGACAATAAAAAGATGAGGAATACTAATTTGGAGCGGATGGCCTTGCAGCATACCCTATGTAATCAAATTTATCGGTCCTGTACGAAAGCGTTTCCAACCATATGTGCTCGTGGTCTTCAACCTGGGAGTCGGGAAGAACATAACAAAACCGGTTCGAACCCAGCGGCTTGACAATTTGGGTCAACTGTAAGGTGGTCCCTCTGTAATCGCATCTAGTCAGTGTTGTCGAGAGAAAAATAGGTTATGGTAACCTAATCGTTGAATAAGCATGCGAGGAAGACATCCAATACACCGAAGTCTGTGCAGTGGACTTACACAGCTCAGTGGAAAGCATTCTGTTAGACTTGAAAATCGGTAGACAGCCGTCATCGTGACTAATGTGACGCTACAAGCATGCACTAGCAACGCTCCGGCGAGTAGCGGAAAAATGATCTATGGAAATCATTTGAACAAGTAAGCGAAAGTTAACAACTACTGTGCAAAACTGTATCATAGCGTTGTAAAATAGGCTTGGGTCAATTTTTCTCCCCGGACGGACTGCCGATTTATTCTTTTCTATTCTCCCTTTTTGTGGCCAATTTGATCCAAGATACACGTGTTCATGATGTCAAAATCGATTGGGGTAAACATCAAAAGCAAGTTTTAGTAGCCGACAATTTTAACTGTGGGGAAACGTAGCCCTGACACCGCATTACCATGGACGTATAAAAGGAAGGGTATCGATTTTTCTCATACATTTTTGCAGTTGTAGGACGGGCGGTCCACTACTAAGGGTTTATACATATGCGTACACTGGAGATAACACGTGAACCAGGCGCTGATGAAGTCCTACATGGTACAGTATGGAAACAAAACAAACGAAACCCAAACGGCCACACGTGAGTCAGAATGGCGGGCTAGATCTATTACTGAGTGCTGCTTCGAAAACGACATGTATAATTGGCGACTTGTGCAAAATAGAAAATGACCCATAGTTATAGTTTGAAGATCGGGAAATATTGAGTTCTGTGCGGTCTAATGAACTATTGAACAGAGACCAGACCTAATCGGGTGACAAAACGGCTTCCCAATCACTACGTAATCAGTTAGGAGCTACCATGTATTGTGGTTTACTGCGGATATTGGCCCATGAAATAAGGCTGATTTCTACACCCACTTAGCGAAACAATCCGGAAACGAATATTCGCCGCTCCTTCTGGGTCGCCTTTCTGGAAAATAGATTGGCATGATAGCGTTCAAACAGCATGCAACTTGAATATAGTTAATGAAGGGCTTTTTATAAAGTTGTCGGTGTCAAAATACATTTAAAGAATCCCTAAAATAGGAACAACAGTTAATTCCACCACGTTTTCTTCGAATTACCAAGATCACATTGTCGTAATAAACGATGTTTAAAGTTTCGCTCACACAGGAATCCACTTCTGTTAGCATTTTTTGCAAATACCGCAATAGAGCACTTATTTGCATCCATACACTGTTCTTTTAGTTATGCGTATATTGAACCATTTCTAAGGTAAACATTTCATAAAGCAACACGAAATTACTGTTTGTTGCCAGAAATGGAACATTAAACGCGCATCTAAAGGGAATTATTCTATCCGTGTAATTTTACAGTTGAATTTCCGCGCAGCGCACTGATGGAACGCCACCGATTTGCACCTGAGCTCAAAGCGGAACTGAATTATCTCCCCGTTCAAACGCAACCGCTTGTGGTAGCACAGTAGCGAAGAGTAAGTGCAAAGCACTGGTGTGTTGGTGTTTACTTACTGGAGTCTCCAGCGTAGTATCACAGGGGTATGGCTTGCAACATTAGTCCCCTGGTTCGAAATACCACTCATACTTAGGTTTGGGTGCTCTGGTAGTATCCCAGTCGTGCACAACCCATTGTGGCTTTGTAACCGCGAAGTAACATTTCTGGTGTCGGCAACACCTTAATGGAATTTGCACATGGTCTTCGGTTTCTGGCTAATTTTGTATAGAACGTACCCGTCTTGGATGTGCGAGCCGGGTGAATAACGGATTGCTCTATCAGCTATGTAAATGTCACGAATGGCAAGACAAGGCTAATAAACAGACCGTGAGTGCGTGTAAAGGAAGAAGTGTAGCTGGCCAGACAGATGCCCGCTCGTTTATGGCGTGGTGAAAAAGGTAATCAAAGGTAGTCACACTAATCCCCGCTTCCTTCGGTTTGCTGAGGCTGTCGCAATAAGCCGGATTAAGCCAGCCTTGTGTGTTCAGAAACAATTATTTGTCAGCCTAAAGCTGCCTTGGACGTAGGTGTGAACTTCCGTCATTCGTTTTGCACCTTAAGCTTGTCTGGTTGCACCCACTGTTAGCTATATCTATGCTTATCGGTTATTGTTAATGGTACTGAGGAGACAATACGAAATGCATGCATCTACCAGCCTTCGTCTTCTTTCCGTGCTTTTCAACTTGTTGAAGGAAACTAACTGCTTTAATCAAAAGTACTTGATTTTACAAAGTATCCACGGAACGTTTGTAGTTGTTTGCACAAACTGGCACTATAAGTACCGATTCGTCTTCAAAACTTGCGCTGCTGTGGATTCAAATACTGTTTTAGTAGGGATAATGCACGGTATCGTCTTAACTGCCGTGCGACCAATTTGTATTGTAGGCCTTTAAAGCAAGATCATCTCGTGCAACCTTATAGCTCTTACGTACCATGCAGGGGCACGTGGTGCTCTTAGCTTGGTCAGCGCTCACAGACAGTAGGGTGAGACGAAGTCTATGGCGATCGTAGGGACGCTAGAAGTAAATGCACCAGTTGTTGCGGTGTAACCACCACAAACAACCACTAAACGATGGAAGAGATCCAAATGGTGTGGGTAAAGCAGAACAGTGGAACCGGAACAAACCGCTAGTTGTGAACAAGCTGCTCTGTTAATAATATTAATGTAAACAAAATCCTAGAAGAAACAGAAGGGAATTACTTTTATGATAGTGAATACTTAAGACTGACTTACTTGGTGAATATTACCCATACCCTTTTGAGGGGGTCCGTGTGAAGAGTTGCTTGAGAGATAAGCAGCTGCTTTATATGGTCCGATCCCCTTTGCTTCAGCTCGTCTTTTTGAATCGTGGTTCGCAGCTCTATTCCGGCCCAATAATCGCCTTATGATTCCGTGCTTTGTTGCGTTGTCAAATTTCGCAGACGGCACCCGGTTAACATCCGTTACGTAGTCACCCGATTGAGGCGAAGGTGTTGGGGGTGCAGCAGATCCAAGGCGTTCGATGCGGACACCGGTTTCCGCACCAGTCACTTCAGCAGACGTACCCAATAGTGATGCTCTGCTGAAGGACGCAACCAGTCGATCATGTTTCATCTGTTGATTGGCCGCCGGTTCCATCACCGACCTTGAAACAACTAATCAGAATTGGGCTGAAAGAAACGACAAACCGGTTCATTAGGAAGCCTATCAGTTAGACTGCTGTTTACGCTCGAAGGTGCCCTTGGATCGCCTGGCTGAGTGACTGGAATGTGCCCAACCACACAAAATGGGCAATTTCATAAAAGCACTTCACGAATTTCAACAGAGCAAGAAAAACCACATTTTAACAAAATATACTGAATTCAGTAATTTCGCGTCTTCTCAGCTGTTTACAGACAATCTGGATGAAAGTTCTACAGAAGCCTCTCCCATCTGATACATTTCGCTCGTTGGATAAATTGGTGGAATTGCGTTGCTGCATTGCTCGCAAGACAATGCGTGCTAATGTTTACCGTGGGTGCCTGGGAACTTCTGCTTACTCACGTCAACTAGTAAAGTCGCTATGTACAGACAAGTTACCGCTCGAAACTTGCGAAGATTGACTAGATCTCACATCGAAGTCTCTGTTTAGCGCATTTCTGAATTAAACACCAAAATAAGATGTGTAGATCAAGTACATAATTGTTTAAATCTTGTATGCCATTTCAAAATTCTTCAAGTTCCTTCGCACCCTATTGCTAAAAACTCGTTCAGTCACCAGAAAGCAACTGATGAATTCCATGTCACCGGAACGCTTCAATGAGCAGACGTCGCTAGAACCTGAGAAGTATGTGTTAAATCTGTCTACCATCTCAATGAGTCGTCACCCACTTGAAGCTTTATCTTTGGGTTTCAATTTTTCCGTTCCACTAATTAAATGCGACAGAATAGGGATTGAAGCTCAGTTTGAGAATCTGTGCGACCAACTTTCCAGTCTAATACCGATCGATGTGGACTCAATCGGCTGGTTTAGAGCTAGATTGGCAGCTTTGGCCAACCAGTTCTGTGCATCTGAGACGGAAATTGCGGAATTCTAACGAAAGATCGTTGGGAAATCCTTGATGCAGCTGCGACGAAATGAAAATGTAGTAGTACTAAGACCCGGTAAGGGATCAGGAATTGTAATATTAGAAAAGCAAGACTGTATTTAGAAAGTTCAAACAATTCTTGCAGACTCCAACCGCTCCGTTCGTGATGCGGTAGGCCGCGATAAAACAGAACAGATGGAGAAGTTAATAGTCCGAGATTTGAAGGAGCTAATGAAGGCGGGATTGATTGATGCAAAAACTATGACACAGCTCCGTCCTCGGGGATCTCGAATTCCCTACATGTATGGCTTACCGAAAACTCATGAAGAGAGCATCACCCTACGTCCAATAGTCACAATGGTGGACGCACCGTACCAAAACTTAGACCGATGCCTAACGAAACTCATCGATCCCATCTGGAAGGAACTGGCAAGGTACAGCCTAAGAGATAGACCTGATTTTGTCAATAAAATATGTAATTTAAACGTGAAATGGAAGCATATGACCTCTTTCAATGTATGCTGGCTGTTCAAGAATGTCCCTTTGGAAGAAACGTTAGATATTATAGCCAGGCATGCTGAAGAAGTCAGGATCCATCGTCCCAGCTCAAATCAGCAATCCGCTTCTATAGGAAAGATATTCAGTTCCGGTGCAGTGGAACCTTATATCAATAAATCTACGGTGTAGTCATGGGCAGTCCATTGGGCCCAATTTTGGCTGATATATTCATAGGACACTTGGAAAACACCGTGCTACCTTCTTATTTACAGAATGTCCACTTTTATGGCCGGTATACGGACGGCACATTTGTCGTTATTGACAGTCCTCAGCAAGCAGCATACCTACTGGAAATGATGAATAAGTGTCATCCCGCAATTAAATTCACGATAGAAAACGAATCCGATGAATCCTTCCATTTCCTCGCTGTTAACTTACAGAGAAAGCTAGACAATACACTCGTTCGGTCTGTGTACAGAAAACAAACATGGACATGACAGTACCTGAATTTTAATAGCATCTTCTCTATGAACTACAAGCGAGGTGTAGTCCATAGGGCTTTTACTAGACCTCGTCAAATTTGCTCTCCGGAGACTATCGAATGTGAACTAGAACGCTTCATCTCGAAACTACAAGAGAATGGATATCCCGACGATTTATTACACGGTACGCGAACTTAGCGCCGAAAGATGAACCACCAACAGATGTTCCAAAGAAAAAGGTATTCAGAATGCTGCCGTTTAAAGGGGATCAAGTTGACAGAAGATGTCGGCATCGTCTTCGTCAGTCTATTAAGAAGTGCTATTAAGCGGCTGAGCTAGTGGCATTGCACCAAGTCAGGAAGCTGCTGTGCAAATCCAACCTGAACAGACCGGACTCTCAAGGTACCGCTTAGTGTATCTATTTTTTCACCTGTACTTGCAATAGCAAGTACGTTGGTAGAACGGAGAGAAGGCTGTCAGCGAGGATTGCAGAGCACATCCCTCGATACATAGTCGCAAATAGTCCGAAACTACCCACTAGCTCTATTGCACGCCACGTACTTGATTGTCCTGTGTGCGAAAACCCACGTGGTGGGTTTAGGGTAATCAACAAACAAAGCAGTCCCCGGCTACTTCAGTTTGTTGAGGCCTCGGCGATTCGGAGATTAAAGCCAACTTTGTGCAAATTAACGGACTTCTTGACCAGCCTCGCTCTACCCTGGTTAGGCTAGTGTCGTCTTTCCTCTGACCGAACCAAGTGAACTAATGGACTTTCGACCGCTATAAATTTTCACCGATAAGATTGTATTTTGCTTGCTTTTGCTATCTAATCAGTTCTTTCCACAAATTGTTTGTAAACAGCTGAGGTGAACACACGAAACTACTGAATTCAGTATATTCTGTTAAAATGTGTATTTTTCTCGCTCTGTTGTGATTCGTGGAAGGAAATGCTTGTAGAAAATTCCCCATTTTGGTTCAATTTTCTCGTGGACTTCATCATGGAATGTTCCCTTGCGGTGCCTCACGATGCAGTTGTTGAGACCTTGTCTGGTACAATTCTAGTTTATCGTCAGTTCTGAGACGTTTTGAAACAATCGGTTGGTATAGTTGTTTTGTAACGCTTCGCGCTTGACACAAGTGTTTCGTCAGACCAGGTGAATCCGTGTGCAATTGGGGCGCTTTTACAGGAGCACCAGCCATTTGACGACTCCTTGACTCTTGATGGCAAGGAGCTCGAGGTAGTTGATCACTTCACCTAACTTGGCAGGTTTATAAGCAAGCATGGGCGCATAACAACTGGAGGCAGTTCACATATTGTAAAAACCAGAACTGCCTCCTCGAATCTGCGGCATCTTTGAGGACAGAAAGGGGTTTCCCTCCGTTTGAAAGGCCATGTTTACAAGGGAATTGTGAGGGCTGTTCTACACTATGGAAGTGAGCCTTGGCCCCTTCTGTCTGAAGATCTGAGGCACATTAAAGTCTTTGATCATGGTTGTCTGCGAAGCATTACTGGTGTGGGATGCCACCAGCATGTCCGCAACGATAATGTGCCTAGGTGAGTACTAAACACTTATAGTCAATCTACTTGGTTCGAACAACAGATAGCACTGCATAAGTTGTGTTGGCTTAGCTACGTACTTCGTATGCCTGGTCACCGTTTACCGAGGAGTGGCTGGTATTGTCTACCGGATGTAGCTTTGCGCAAGGATGGTGTTGAACAAAATCTGACTTGGGAGCGGGAAATGAATTCACTGACGACCAAAGTCGATGATCAATCCGTCTTGCCTTCCAGGCTGGAGTCCACGTGACCTGCCTTGTGCTTGGCTCGAAACTTTACAGGACATGGCTTGCAATCGACACCAATGACGTGTCCGCTGCCGTCTTCTAGTCGGACTACCTGTTAAACGTGTGCTTGGTGCTATCTGCTGGGTAATCGCTAATTATGACGCGGGGCACTGAAAGCCGCAAGGACGCTGTCTCGTCGATGCCGTCTTATCTGCACAATGGTCAGGTGTTTGTGTTGGCATGTTCTTGACAAGGTGTAGGCGATTTTACCCTAAATGTTTGTATAGGTTATTAAGGTTTTCAAGTAAGTCCCACTTCTCTCCCCTTTATTATTCTTCGTTCCATAAAGCACGATGGTTGTACGACACCGAGGTATCAGTTCAAATGGCTCACGTACTGCTGTAGATGACGATGATGCAAAACGCACATCAACCCCACCAGCTATGGATATACCAAGCCATTTCAAGTGGTCTCCTTTGTCGGTTCTTCCACCAGCAGTTATATAAGTGGACGGTGAAGGTGTCCAAGAATATTTCTACATAGCGGTTGGATTAGTGATGCCTCGGAGGCGACCGGCAGTGCTTGATTCCCGTACGGTGACAGAAAGCACCAAATTCGTTGGAGAGCAATTGTGTACCGTTAGTGGAAATCAAGCTCTTTGATGAACCGAACTGTACAGATAACTGTTGTAATTTTCACTGTGGTCGCTCTCGTCCAAGGTAGCGTCTGACCGAAAGAAATCGAACCATTTTTAAAGTTCGACTCTTAGACAACAACTGCTGCTCAGTCTATTCAAATTGCGACTCCAGCGGTTGCAGGCGCCGTGACTAAGACTAGATGCAAACTGCAGCAACCTCGCCAAATCCACCCATGCCTGCGCCTCACATCACCGAAAACCAGGCGGAACCACGGTGCCCAAACACACATAGGTGCCAAGGTTCCTGAGTCTAAGCTTAACTCTTTAGGGGGCAAACAGCAGGACAAGCTGAACCGGTGGAATCGCGTTTATGCTTGGATCGCTGTTCGAGCCAGGCCAGCTAACTTGATGCGCATCCCAAAACAACCATACTCGATACACTACGGTGCGTTTCCACCTATACGGGTAACACTGGGATCTACGGATGAAATCGGGACGGTACCCTCGTCGGCACACCACTTGCGGAGTGAAGACGGTGGGTTATAGATGTTTCCGAATGTTTCATGGAGCGAAAGCCAACGGGAAAAATGCTTCGAACAATCGCAACACAGGCAGCAATGCAGAGGAACCATTTTCGTTCATAGTGTGCCCATGGTAACGGCAGCTACCAACCAGCAAGCCCATGCTCATGACTTAGAATA